GCCACGTTACAGGATGTGATTGATTTGTATATTGCTGCTATGTTACAGGATGTGATTGATTTGTATATTGCTGCTATGTTACAGGATGTGATTGATTTGTATATTGCTGCTATGCTACAGGATGTCATTGATTTGTATGTTGTTGCTATGTTACAGGAAATGACTAATTTGTCTGTTACTGCCACGTTACAAGATGTCACTGATTTGTATATTGCTGCCATGTTACAGGATGTCATTGATTTGTCCATTGTTTCCACATTACAGGTGTTATGACTTGTTTATTGCTGCCATGTTACAGGATGTGATTGATTAATATATTGTTGTTGTGTTACAGGATGTAGAAGTATGTTATAGAAGCACTTGTAAGTGAAGTATATAGCTTGTTCTGATTGAAAGTAATGTTCATTGTTAGCTTTAAGGTGAAAGTACATAGGTTTATAGAGGAAAATAGCTCATTTATAATAATAAAGGTATGTAATTTTTAAACTTTACTAACTAACTACGATTCCTGAAAACTTACTTCACAGCTTAAAAGTGTTAAAACTGTGTTTAACATTAGTGTAGATTCTGTGAAACTTTCTTTACTATTTCATCCATGTTGCATTATGTATGGCTGTGATTACATTAATGTACATTCTGTAAAACCTTCTTTACTATGTCCCCCCATGGTACATTATGTATGGCTGACTTTATGTGATACAACTGTGTGTAATGACATAAGCATATAGATTCTGTGAAATTATCTTTATCATGTCTTCTATGTCACATTATGTATGGGTAACTTTATGTGATACAACTGTGTGTGTGTGTGATGACATTAATGTAGATTGTGTGTGTTAGATGTACAAGACTTTCATTTGAGTTTAATGTGAAAGAGATGACTTAGATAGTTATATAACAAGAGTGTTAAATTTAGTTAGTTTTAGAAGTGATCGTGTGTCACAAGCATGTTTACATAACTGTTTATAAATCATGTTGTATAGTTCAATAGTTAAGGATTAGTGCCTATTTTGTTATTGCATCATGTTGCTAGAGCCTTCTGAATTTTTATAAATTTTTTAATTGAATATTATTGTATCATAATATCTCATAGTGTTTAGAATGTTTTAGGCCTCTGTTGGGGAATAAATACATATTGAAAATTTAGTTGGATATAGATAGGTCTAGACTGCCGTTTAGCCATAAAGAGTGTATAGTGGTGATTTTAAACTGAAATTATTACAGATTGTATTGTAATAACAGAGTAGAGAAGAATAATTCATGTTGTCAAGCTGTGTTTTAAAGTAACTGAGCCAGCCTGTGTGTAATTTGATGAAAAAAATTTAAAGCTCTGAATACAACTGTGATAACCAACAGTGTAACAAACATTTGTTTTAATGTTTGAATTGTATGAATATATTATTTTAAAACAAGTCAACTGTGTGCTGTTTGTTTATTGTTTAAATGTATTGCCAATAAATCACAGACACCTACTGTAAAGAATCAGGCACATAAAACCTGACAATGGCGAGCCAGCCAGGATCTACAGTGGTAAACAGCAGTAGAAAAAGATTTAAACAACAGCAGTAAAAAGGCTTATATATGCACAGCTGTAGTGGTGGGAAAAATATTGTAGAGGTCACAAGCACACTATTTAACCATGTTGACTAAGTTTTATAAGTGGTTAGAGAGGAGCGAGCAACTTGGGCTCAAAGATGACAATCTGTGAGAGTTTGTTAAACAACAACAAGAACTAGAGAGAGATGGGTGTCAGCAGAGAAGAGGGGAAGAGACAAAAAAAAAAAGGAAGAGAGAGAGGAGAGACTGGAAACAGAGAGAATAAGAGCAGAAATTGAGATTGCCAAGCTCAACCAACAGAAAGCTGCCCAAATTTGATGAACATAAAGACAACATAGATGAGATGTGAAAGATTTGATCAAAGTCAGAACTGGAACAAAGGTTACTGGGCAGTTTGTCTCAGACCCCTTCTCATAGGAAAAGACCTACAAGTGTAAGCAAGCATGATGTCAGAAGATGCCATGGACTACGACAAGTTAAAAGTGGCCTTTCTAAAATGCTATGAACTTACAAAGGAAGATTTTCACCAGAAGTTTGAAGAAGTGAAACCTGACACTAAGAAACTGTATTTCAGCTTGTGGCACATCTACAGTGATACTTCACTGACATGGCCAAGTGTGAAAATAGTTTTGAAGGACTGGCAGATCTATTAATACGTGAACAATTAATGACCACATGCTTCACTGAAATGTCCATGCTCCTAAAAGAGAGAGAGCACTGAAAGATGTAGATGAGATGATCAAGTTGGCAGAACAGTATATGGAAGCCCATAGAGGGAGTATAACTGGCAAGTCAAAGAATAACCAAAGTCGAAACCATGGGTGGCTGATCAGAAGCAGGATGCCACCAAAGGTTACAAAAGGTTAACAGACAAAAGGGTGAAGAGATGTTATACTTGTTATAAAATGGAGCACATTGTGAGTGAGTGCAAGTCTGTCACCAACAAGCAACTGCAAAAATCTCAACATAAAGAGCTGGAGCTACCTACAAAAATGATGCTGGCAAGAAACAAGAAAAAAGTGGCTATCATCATGGATGCTGCTGCCAAAAGAAAATAATAGAGACAACTCAGCAGATTCACCACAAGAAGGAAGTGCTATCACCATGATTAAACAGTGCATGATTGATGGTCAACTTAGGTTACCAACTATGGTAACAGTGCCAGTACTGCTTGGAGAATGTGACAGACATTGAGAGGTACCAACAAACCACAACATGCCATTAGACGAAGGCTATATTGGGGTTCAAGAAAGTCCTATGATACACTTGTGCAGCAGTGAGAACCAGTCTAGTATCTGATGACCAAATGATGGGCAAGGTACATCTGTGTGTGCTGATTGATGGGACAGAGAAAAAGTTTTCCTTAGCAAGAATAAAGGTGAACACTCCATACTAAATTGGAGACCTTGAGATCATGTGTATGAAGGCACCCACCTAAACTTGGTGATTGGCAATATAACAGGCAGCATAAGTTTGGAGGAACCAGATGGAAAGGAGACTGATGAAGTATCTGCAGTCACCACAATAGCTCAAGAAAAAAAAACAAGCAAGACATTGGGCCCCTGCAAGTTTTGAAAGGTGACATCCTGAATGTAGGTCTATGAGAACTGAAGGAAGCACAAAAGAAAGATCCTTCACTGCAAAAAATTTGGGACAGTGTCTGGAGGAAGTCAAGCATAAGACAAAAGGGAGAGGGACTTCCAGAATAGAGGACCAGAAAAGAGTGCTGTACTGGATTTATCAAGGCAGTTCTACTGGAGAAATTAAATAGATCATAGAAACAACAGAATACCAGATTCAAGTGATGAAGTTGGCTCTTGAGTTGATTGTGGGAGGACATCTAAGAGCAAAGAAGATGTCAGACAGAATCACCAGCAACTTCTGTTGGATGGAGGTCATTGGAGATGTGACCAGATTCTTCAGGTCATGTGACATCTACCAAAGGACAGTACCTAGAGGGAAGGTGGCCAAACTGCACTGGCTGAGATGCCTCTTGCAGAAGAGCTGTTCATCAGAGTTGCTGTGGACTTGATCAGACCAGTAGCACCTGAATCTGACAAGGGTAACTGGTACATGCTGACAGTTGTTGACTATGCAACATGTTACCAAGAAGCTATAGCACTGCCAAAGATAGAGATGGAGAGAGTAGTAGAAGCCCTCCTGAAAGTGTTCTGCAGAATAGGTTTTCCAAAAGAAGTCTTGAGTGACAGGGAGACCCAGTTTACCTCAGAACTGATGCAAGAGATGTGCAGGTACATCAACACTAGGCAACTATTTACTCACCCCATACAAGCCTAGATGTAATGGACTTTGTGAGAGGGTCAACAGATTCTCAAAGAGCATGCTAAAGAGATGTGCCAGGAGAGACCATGTGACTGGGACAAATATCTGCAGGCAGCAATATTTGCTTTACAAGAAGTCCCACAAGTGAGTACAGGATTTTCACCCTTCAAGTTACTGTACAGAAGGACAATATGAGGTCCAATTTAGATATTGAAAGAACAGTGCACAGGAGAAGAAGAGTCAGAAGTGAGGAACACATAACAGTACGTGTTAGACCTGAGAAACTAACTGGAGGATACCTGTCAACTCATTCAAGAAAGTTGGTATGCAGCTCAACGCAATCAGAAGCACTTCTATGACAAGAAGGCCACAGATGAACATTTCAAGGTTGGACAGAATATCTTTGTTCTGCTACCCACAGACAACAACAACCTCACCCTGCAGGATTTTTTGTAGTGCAGGAAGTGGTCAACAAAATAAACTATAAGGTGAAAGTGGACAGGAAGACCAAGATCTATCATTCCAATCTGACAGTGTGAGGATCATGAGGTGGGCATTGTATCTCCAGAACTGCCGGTTTGACATTGAGGACGTGTAAATATTTTTCTTGAAGAGGGGCTTATTGTTAGATATACATGACTGTTTCCACTTGACTTTAATGTGAAAGATATGATTTAGATAGTTATATAGCAAGAGTGTTAGAAGTGATAGTTTATCACAAGCATGTTTATCTAACTCTTTACGAATCATACATTTTGAAGTTAAAAAGTTATGAACTGGTGATTGTTGTATTATTGCATCATGTTACTAGAACCTGAGTTTCTCTTGTTAATTTAATTGAGTATTATTGCATCATGATAACTCATAGTGTGGAACGTTCTAGACACCTTTTGTAATATAAATATGAGTTGAAAATTTAATTCAGTATAGAGCCAGATAGATCTAGACTGTGTGATTATGTGTTTACCCACAATGAGCACATAGTTGCAGTTTGTAAAGTGAAATTATCACAGACTGTATTGTAATAACAGAGTAGAGAAAAATCATTTGTTTTGTCAATTGTGCCCTAAAGTAATTGAACCAGTCTGTATGGAATTTGACAGAAAAAAAAGACAATTATTTAAAGCTCTGGATACAACTAGGATAAACAACAGTGTAAGAAATGTTTATATATATATATATATCTATTTGACTGGTTTTAATATATTATTTTAAAATAAGTGGACTGTGTGCTGTTTGTTTATTGTTGAAATTTATTGCTAACAAGACACCAACTATAAAGAATCTGACCCATACATAAATCCTTTACTATGTCCTCTATGTCACATAGCTTCTGAACAAAGTTTAAGAGAAATGTTTTTGTTTACTATAAATGTCGAAAACAATTTTAACTTCACTGTTATCCATATATTGTAAAAGTGGCATAATTTTATACAGAATTATTGTTCAGTCTTTATGTCAAACATATTTATAACAATGTTAAAGTGGAAGATTGTCTTGCATTGCTGTAAGTGTTAATAACAGTTTCTTTTAACCTTTGTCCCTTTTTGTTGTAGTAGCCTATAAGCAAGCAGTTTTATTAGAATAATAAACTTCCATCATCTTTACTTTAGACAGTATTTACTAAGATGATATTTCATGTCATCAGCAAAGTAAAGATGATGGAAGTTTATTGAGTGGAAATTGAGTTCCTGAAATATTGCACAAACCATGTATAATTTTCTGTTATAATCTAACTTTATGAAAATTGCTTTGGTTACCTCTTGAACTGTTTTGAAATATATTTCTGTAAAATGTTTCAAAGTATCTTTGTTCACAAGAAAGAATTTATTATAAAAAAATTGGAAGAATATGACCTTTGCTCACTTAATGTTTAGCTGAATGTTCACATGCTTATGCAATGTTGTTGTTTTCATGAAAGATTTTATGTTAGTATAAAATTTATTAATATTTCAACATGTTAGCAGAGATGATGGCATCTCTAAATCTTTTTTAGGTGTATTTACTGGTTGCAGCACTTTGGCTCAAGCCCTGGCTATCCCAGAAGATGGTAAAGTAGTTGCTTGTGACATTGATGAGGAAACTGTTAATCTTGGTAAACCATTTTGGGAAGAGGTGAGTGGTCTATGAAATTAAGTATTTAAATGATGAAGCTACAATCAGAATTTGAGATCAAAATACACATATTTTATCCAGTGGTAAGCTTGAGCATTATAGTTCATATGACTTGAGTATAGTGTGGAAAGTCAATACAGAAAGTTTTAGTTAGAGAACTTAAGCTTGTTAAAATGTTTATCAGGGATAAATTGAGCTTCAAACAAAATTTATAGTTACATATTAAGGTTTTACTGGTTTCATTTATAATTTATAGTTACATACTAAGGTTGTACCAATTTCATCTATATTTTATAGTTACATACTAAGGTTGTACCAGTTTCATCTGTATTTTATAGTTACATACTAAGGTTGTACTGGTTTCATCTATAATTTATAGTTACATACTAAGGTTTTACAGGTTTCATCTATAATTTATAGTTACATACTAAGGTTT